AAAACCTCATCAAAATCCGTTGCGTAGTTTAAAAGATCTAAGCGTACAGACGGTGGGACGCTACTTTGTTTTATTCTATGTAGATTATAAACCGGTGTTCGACTACTATTCCACCTGAAGGTAAGTGACGATATATCCGAATATGATAAAGCGCCTAACAAAAACAAAAAACCAACCTAACAATAACCTGTTCTCCCTTGCCTTGAAGACATCTACATTGTAAACAAGATTTAAAGGCAGTGAATGGCAAATTATTTCACTTTTTACTGTACGCATTACAACCGAGAAGTTGCGTCGGCAACCCAATAAAACGGCTAAACATACTGCGTCAGCAAGGGCATAATCTGAAGAATACAAGGACACCAAAACTGTCTTTGAGATTGCTATGAGGTTATCTTGCCCGCTCACTAACCAGCACGATGGAGCCACCTTAAAATTTTTCTTGTAAAGCCCTCTTCTACCCGCGGCCGACCAGCTCAGCACCGTGAATCGGATCATGGTCCGGATCACCATATCCCTCTACCCTCTCGCACCTGATATAGTAAAAACTGACGCTTTGTACTCGGTCCACACTGTTCCGATCATGACGAAATACAACACCGTCATTCCGCTATGAATTTGCATTGATGGGTAACGTAATAATAATAATAACAATAACCCCCATGGGTTAACCTTGTTGTGGTGGCGGGCCTTAAGGGAAAGGCATGTACTTTACTGCAGTCGGAACAATTATACTGTGTAATAATAACAGGGCAGGATAATCTTTCTGCCTATTAATATTTAATAACCCTTTTCCAAACTAACGATCCCAAACCAGAAATCCTATCTATATTACACTAAATATTTACAATTAATTTAGGTATATAAAACTTTAGAAAAATAAATAAAAACACTAGATTTGTCATGTAATATGAAGCACCTGCTACCAAAACATTACGTATATAACAGATAGCAGTGTCATTTTCTTCTCAGCTAGATAACTAACTGAACACTAATATATTATAACAGCCAAAAAATTAAACAACAGGTACAACAGCTGGCATGAACGAAATACAAGCAAATATATTCGTTTATCTTTATGCTGTAGTGTTTGTAAAATAAGCGCTTAGTATGTTGTCTTAGAGTTTAAATTAGTGTGAACCATACGCGATCCTTGTGCTGCTTCTCGGCCGACGACGGTTAGACCGTAAACTAAACACAAATGATAGTTGTTACTGTTACTTTTGTTAGATGGCGCTTTCCAACGATAATGCATATATTATAACAGTCAATGGTTGATTATTCCAATGTGTTGTAAGATTATAAATATATAATGAAATATATTATCTGCTATATAATGAAATATATAACTGTGTGTGTTATGTTATACTTTTGGTATGTTATATCAGCCGAATACGTCGGAACGTAAAATCAGCCGTAGAACTTCGGTCACGTACCTTGCGGCATAGCGTGTTTGTACACTTAAAGTTTCTACACCATAGATATAAGAAATAAGGAGATATGCTCAGTAGTCGAAAATGTATCGGAACCCGGTGTCTCCAGTTGGCCCCTACCACGCGCCAACTACTACATATGCACATCAGTAAAAGCAATAGATACACAGTCGCGCACACACTCGCATTTTATAAATCAGAACGTACTACACAATCAATTTTAAACCATATCTCTGAAAGCAGAGCGTGCATTTACCATTTACCGTGCCACTTACACAAAAATATCGGTCACTATCGTTGTGCTGTAAAAAAGCCATTTATTTTACATATACGTTAGTGATTGACTAAATTGGAAAGTTAACGATTGTTTCATTTATACTAAAATTGTACAAATTTTTTTTTGGGCCCTGATAATAAAATAAATAAAATGCCATATGTCCAGAGAATAGTGTAATAAAAGTAATTAATATGTAGGTAAAAATGTAATAATAACCTAAAATTTAATCAACTTACTTTACGACCGTTGGTTACGTATTCAGTGTAGTAGCTGCTGTAAAATAATTAAAATAAGTAAAAAACATTGTGTCACGTCGGTCTTCCTATCGGGTTGAAACGGTTGACAAATTGGAGAATAAACTATAATAACAATTCACCAATCCACATTACTGTCGATAGTGGATCTACACAAGCACATAACTAGCTCGTCGCAAGATACAGCGGCCGTACTACGCCATACTCGTATATCTGCGTAAATACGAGTAAAGTATCATTTTGTGATATTTACATTGCTTGTTCAGTCACTTGGCGTCATACTAAGGTACTGGTTATGGAGCAATGTATTTACTGCAAAAATATTACAGTGACTGTGATATTTGAAATCAAAAATGACGTAGTAAGAGCAAGAAATATTTTACGATTTGCTGTTTAATATGATTTTAAAGATAAATATAATTAAATACTTTTACTTAGGTATGGTAAGTGATTTCATGATTAACAAAGTTTTTGTTTTAGCTTCGGTTTTTACAAGAAACCACTGAACAACATGGTATTCTGATAATATTTCACGATGACGGTCGACAGCGCACTAATTCGCATGGACGGCCATTTGTATAGAAGCTGAGCATTTTGATCATAGCGCGCGGACACAGACACGCCCCCTTGCCACTTCTGTTGTTTATATTTCTATGTTCTACACAGATTAATAAATAGCGTTTCTATTTCTTTTAAAGAGTACAAGTTTTTGACGATGGTGAATTTATGGTGGTTTCAGTTCAGCACCTTAAGGAGAATTGAAATAAAGCAAAATTATATTTATTTCCTCACCGTAATCCACATTATCGCCGTGAATTCACGCGCGAATTCACGCCACGAATTCACGGCACAAGTTGTACCCTCCACATTCATAGGATGCTTACAATCGATCGTGAAACCCGGCGCGAAACGGACGTAGAAGCCGCTGCTGCAGTAACTTTATTTGCCGTGGCAACATATCACTATTTAGATATCCAAAACAAGAAATTCATTAGAAAGCATTGGAAGAAAAGAAAATGGTGTGTGACTAAAATACATCGTCTGTACGCTTTTGTAGTCCGAAACCAACTGCAAAGAGTATAATAAGTATATACAGGAAAAATTTCTAACTTCCTCTCCCCCTTTTTCTTATTTTATAATATTTTTTTTTTTTTTTTTTTTTTATTTTATTTTTTTTTTTTTTTTTTTTTTTTTTTTTTTTTTATATAGAAATAGTGTTTAAGTAAGTTTATTTGTTTTTTTTTGTTTAGTATTAAAAAAAGAAAAAGAAGAGGAGAAAAAAAAAACTTTTTTTTTTTTTTTTTTTTTTTTTTTTTTTTTGGGGTTGGAAAATTTTTATATTTTTTTTTTTTTTTTTTTTTTTTTTTTTTTTTATGTTAATTTATTTTTATTATAAAAAAAATTTTGTTTTTTTTTTTTTTTTTATTTTTTTTTTGCCTTCCTCAAAATATTGTTTTCGAAAATTTGTGGCTACCTTCATTGAATTCTTGTGGTCCAAGGACCAACTGGCACGGGGCCGTGAATGTGGACGTGTGGCGTGAACGCCGTGCGTGAACCGAGAACACTTTGTCGCGGGACAAAATGGCCGGTTGAACCGGTTGTCAGTCGACCGACGCGCTATGGAAACATATTAACTCTGATCGGGGAACAGACGTGAATGCGCGTGAATACCGCGAAACCCATCCATATTCACGTTCATGCCTGTTTACGGAGCTTCACGGAGATAATGTAAGAAAATAAAATTTCATTCGTCAAATATCATTTTATTCAAATCTACTACGATGAAAGAAATATATGTATATACTGCTATGTAATATATAAGTTAATATTACAAAGCATAGTATATGAATACAGAATATTGGAACTAGCGTTTATTTAAAAAAAAAAAAAACAAAAAAAAAACGAACTAAAAGCTTCATTATCGTTTATTGCTTTTACTTTAAAGAAACAACACATTTTAATAATATTAAAAATTTAAATAGCTGAGTTTTTATTACGGATGAAATGTGTATCATAATATTATCGAACAGAAACTTGTACAAAAACAAAATCGGGCTTACAATGTTGACTGACCCTGCGGCTAGCTGTACATTAATTAACATTAAATACTAAAGTAATCATCAACCCATTAACGTCCAAAATAAAACTATTGTTATTTTTTTTTCATGTTATTATATTTTATTGCTTTAATAGTCGCTCCAGTTCCTTGAAGACGCAAATCATGCAGTAATTGGTAATTCGTGAAAAAGTTATCAAAATACACGATATGTTGTTTACTATCTTGTATTTATTTATTTATTTATTTTATTCTTGCATCTAAAAAAGTAAAAGGGTGAATTTGTGGTAGTTGTTTTTTTATTTTGTTTTTTTTATTTTTGTAGGGCATTTTTGCGAGTTAAGTTTTTACCACTCTTGCGCCAAGACTATCCGACGAAGCGTCTGCAGATTTGCCACAGTAAATATCAAAAGTATAGCAGTAACCGTCTGAACTATGTAGTTGCGATCCAGTTTTTGTATCCGAGCCGTACGGGTTTTCCTCTAATAAATTGTTTAGCTGGATGACGACCAAAATATTTTATCATAGACTCGTCCACAGATAAATTTTCGTGGAAAACTCCCCACTGACAAAAGTTTCGCTGAATCAAATCGTACAACGGTCTCACTTTGAACATCTTGTCGGTTGCATTATTTGCTAAAGAATTATCAACAAGGTGTAAGTATAGCTTTATATCTGTAAATCTATTTCGAGACATGCAACTCGCCACTAACTGAATGGCGCTGAAACACTAATCTTCATCTAAACTCCAATACGCACGTTCAGATGGTAGTTGATGGTAGTCAGTAAGAATCAATATACCCAAAAATCTTTTCAAGTCAGAGATGTTCAGCTCAAAATTGTGCTTATTATTTTGACCAGCGTACAACAAACTGTTATTTATTATGACATACATTACATCGTCATCAAACATTTTTTTCAAACAGCATAACTGGACTATAATCTTTTAAGATTTCTATTATACTTTATTGTCGGTTTTGTTATGTATCCGTAGTATCATAAACAGCACTGTATTGGGGTAAAGTTTTCCTCCAAACAAGTACTTCGGGCTGCTCGCGTTGGTTTCTAGGCCGCTTATTTCTAGAGTGTTCTGCGGTCCCAGCCGTGTTTGATAGGGGCTCATCGTCACTGTCATTCCAGTTCGAAACGTCATAATCAGGATGGCGATGAATTACCTCCAAAGTCCCTGGAACATCCCTTGGAAGTGTTGAAGAAATTAAGTCGTCTTCATTACCCTCTTCTTCGTCAATTACGGTAGCAGGATCTGGCGGTAATAACACTACATCATACTCTATATCTTGATCTTCACCAGCCAGTATCGATTCTAGTGCTTCCTCAAGCTTCGAGTAGTTATTTTGATTCGAAAAAACACAGCGGTTCGCCATTTACTGATTTTCGAGTACAATGTACAAAAAGTAAAAATAACATATACATATGCCCACTGTACCTGTCTGTGTACAGAGGTATAAATCATCGTAATATGGGAGATTTAATAAAGATTTTATTTAAAATACAATTTGACAAGCAGTAATAAAGTATTATCGAACGTTAAAATCCAAAATGTATCCAAAACCTTTAAAATATTTAATTAAAATCAACAATAATCACTTACCTCTAAATTAAAGTCACAAAACCGTTTCACGAAATAAAATTTTTGACATAAGTTTACGCGTCACTGTCAAAACGATAGATTTTATAGTCTACTAGAGTCATCTAGTTTCAAAATAAACAATTAGTTCGATTGAAACAAATGCCAAAGTACATCAAATATCTACATAACGAGGTGAACTCAAGCAAGTACAGAGGGCGTTAATGGGTTAATCAGGTTTTATAAAGACTGAATACTCGTTAAAATATGGTAGAGCCATGCTGCACGCTGCAGCTACATTATGGCTGCAGCATGAATGAGTCAACAGGACAACATAATCTGAGGTGTATATACTGATTTATCTCAAATTTATATATTTATTAATATACTTAGCGATTAGCTGATTAGAGTTAATAAATATATAAATCTACCATGATTATCATTAATAGTTTGTATAAGGTAATAGTTTATAGATAATAGACCGCAGCCATTAAAATAATATTTAATAGTTTATAATTTTACAATAATAATTCATATAAAAATAGTTTATAATTTTTTATAATAGACCACAGCAATTAAACCGTGTGTAGTTTCTGCTGTAGGGATAAAAAATTTAAGTTTTTTTTTAATTTTTTTTATTTGATTCTTATATTTTGGATTTAAAAAACAAGTATGTTGTTTGTATTTTACAATTACATAAATTGCGCATAAACAAACTCTCAGACCTAGAGTTTATATATAATTATGCGGGATTGATCCAACACTCCGCAGCTGGTTATAAAAACAAATTATAAATAAATTGTAGAATATGTGAAAATATTCTACGTGCTCGCTTATTATAAAAAAGTGGTTTACTTAGTCTCTGTTTTCAACTAGAATTCGTTTCACGAAAGATCCCCGCAGAGATATGCGAATTCAAAAGTCGAATTTCGCGAAGACAGTGGCGACGCGGATAAGGGACCTCTATAGTTAGAAAGACTATATATTCACGTCCTGTGAAATTACTAAAGGAACTATATCCGCGACTGTTTGTCGCTGCTGGTAAAAAGAGGGCTGGTTTTTTTCTCGCTCGAAGGCTAGTTAATTTTAAGTATAGCCATTCAGCGAAGAAACGCAGCCAGCGTTCTTGGCACGGTACCACGGGGAGTAGAAGTGCATGACAATTTAAATCTTTAGGTTTAGTATCTCCTTATTGTAGTTTTTTTTTGTATTGTGCGTAACATTTTAGGTAGATTTAGTTTAATACTATGGTTTAACAGCGTAAATAAATTGAAATTATTCGTCTATATTATACTGGGCGATTCTTTTACCGTCTGGAAAAAATAGGGTGTCAGCCTGACACTGTCAGGTGAATGGAATAGAAGCCTACGGCACTGATATTCTATTTTCTCATTTTTTTGCTTTAAGATATTATGAAATTGATCTAACAATAAATACTACTACATGATTAGAACTACTTTTACAGATTTTATCGCGTTTATTTTTACTTTTTATTTACTTTTATTTTTAATTAAATATCATTAAATAAATACTACTAAGTAGATGCGTATTATTTTAATTTCGAAAGTTTTCATAATGATTTCTTATATTTACGCGAACACTATACATTGATTAAAACTACTTTTACGGAATTTATCGCGTTTTATTTATATTATTTTTAATACCCGACGTTTCGGGTGCTTTCCAGCACCAATAGTCACGGGGGACTAAGGTGACTGACGTCAATCTGAAGTAATCAATTCGATAGTTTTTATTTGATTTATTTATTTAGTAAAAATTTTGTTTTCATTTTTTTACTATCGCAAATTTATTTCAATTTAGTTGTATTTATTGATAGTTCAATTTCATAATAAGTTAATGTAAAAGCATCCGGTATAAAAAAACTACAATTAATATTGATAAATTTTATTATATGGCGCATATTATAAATATTATATAAATTAATATTATATAATATTTATTATATAACATATGGCGCTTTTCCTTACCGGTTTTTGAAAATAGCCTCCCATTGTACACACTGCTACCGGGTACTGGAAAGCACCCGAAACGTCGGCTATTAAAATTAATATAAATAAAACGCGATAAAATCCGTAAAAGTAGTTTTAATCAATGTATAGTGTTCGCGTAAATATAAGAAATCATTATTTATGATATTGCCAGAATTTATTAGCAGAATATCCACTCTGTTAACCTTATCCTAATTTTACTTAGAACACTGAAGACTTACTAATAAAAGTATTGAAACCCAATTATTTAGATTCAAGTTAACACATATAAGCATTTTTGTGTTTATAAGTTTTTGAGGCAGAGAAACTCCCTGGATAGTGCTCTGCATAGCTAACTGAGAAACCTGTAGCTTCCTCATATGAACTGCTGTAAAGGACCACGTCTCAGATTTATATGTGATTTATATGACGTGATGATAAGATGTGTCGTAATCTACCGAACACTGCCCAGTCGATGGAGTACTGACGTTTTCCAGTGCTGTTATGTAAGGGCATACATATACGCATAGGGTGCCCTCCCACTCGATGGATGAAGTACTAACGTTTTCCAGTGCTGTTATTTAAGTGCATACATATAGGCATAGGGTGCCCTCCCACTCGATGGATGGAGTACAAACGTTTTCTAGTGCTGTTATGTAAGGGCATACATATTCGCATAGGGTGCCCTCCCACTCGATGGATGGAGTACTAACGTTTTCCAGTGCTGTTATGTAAGGGCATACATATACGCATATGGTGCCCTCCCACTCGATGGATGGAGTACTAACGTTTTCCAGTGCAGTCGTGTAAGGGCATACATATACGCATAGGGTGCCCTCCCACTCGATGGATGGAGTACTAACGTCTTCCAGTGCAGTCGTGTAAGGGCATACATATACGCATAGGGTGCTCTCCCACTCGATGGATGGAGTACTAACGTTTTCCAGCGCAGTCGTGTAAGGGCATACATATACGCATAGGGTGCCCTCCCACTCGATGGATGGAGTACTAACGTTTTCCAGTGCAGTCGTGTAAGGGCATACATATACGCATAGGGTACCCTCCCACTCGATGGATGGGGTACTAACGTTTTCCAGTGCAGTCGTGTAAGGGCATACATATACGCATAAGGTGCCCTCCCACTAGATGGATGGAGTACTAACGTTTTCCAGTGCTGTTATGTAAGGGCATACATATACGCATAAGGTGCCCTCCCACTCGATGGATGGAGTACAAACGTTTTCTAGTACTGTTATGTAAGGGCATACATATTCGCATAGGGTGCCCTCCCACTCGATGGATGAAGTACAAACGTTTTCCAGTGCAGTCATGTAAGGGCATACATATACGCATAGGGTGCCCTCCCACTCGATGGATGGAGTACTAACGTTTTCCAGTGCTGTTATGTAAGGGCATACATATACGCATAGGGTGCCCTCCCACTCGATGAATGGAGTACAAACGTTTTCCAGTGCAGTCGTGTAAGGGCATACATATACGCATAGGGTGCCCTCCCACTAGACGGATGGAGTACTAACGTTTTCCAGTGCTGTTATGTAAGGGCATACATATACGCATAGGGTGCCCTCCCACTCGATGAATGGAGTACAAACGTTTTCCAGTGCTGTTATGTAAGGGCATACATACTCGCATAGGGTGCCCTCCCACTCGATGGATGGAGTACTAACGTTTTCCAGTGCTGTTATGTAAGGGCATACATATTCGCATAGGGTGCCCTCCCACTCGATGGATGAAGTACTAACGTTTTCCAGTGCTGTTATGTAAGTGCATACATATTCGCATAGGGTGCCCTCCCACTCGATGGATGAAGTACTAACGTTTTCCAGTGCTGTTATGTAAGTGCATACATATTCGCATAGGGTGCCTTCCCACTCGATGGATGAAGTACTAACGTTTTCCAGTGCTGTTATGTAAGTGCATACATATTCGCATAGGGTGCCCTCCCACTCGATGGATAAAGTACTAACGTTTTCCAGTGCTGTTATGTAAGTACATACATATACGCATAGGGTGCCTTCCCACTCGATGGATGAAGTACTAACGTTTTCCAGTGCTGTTATGTAAGTGCATACATATTCGCATAGGGTGCCCTCCCACTCGATGGATAAAGTACTAACGTTTTCCAGTGCTGTTATGTAAGTACATACATATACGCATAGGGTGCCCTCCCACTCGATAGATGGAGTACTAACGTTTTCCAGTGCTGTTATGTAAGGGCATACATATTCGCATAGGGTGCCCTCCCACTCGATGGATGAAGTACTAACGTTTTCCAGTTCTTTTATGTAAGTGCATACATATTCGCATAGGGTGCCCTCCCACTCGATGGATGAAGTACAAACGTTTTCCAGTGCTGTTATGTAAGTGCATACATATTCGCATAGGGTGCCCTCCCACTCGATGGATGGAGTACTACGTTTTCCAGTGCTGTTATGTAAGGGCATACATATTCGCATAGGGTGCCCTACCACTCGATGGATGAAGTACTAACGTTTTCCAGTGCTGTTATGTAAGTGCATACATATACGCATAGGGTGCCCTCCCACTCGATGGATGGAGTACTAACGTTTTCCAGTGCAGTCGTGTAAGGGCATTCATATACGCATAGGGTGCTCTCCCACTCGATGGATGGAGTACTAACGTTTTCCAGTGCAGTCGTGTAAGAGCATACATATACGCATAGGGTGCCCTCCCACTCGATGGATGGGGTACTAATGCTTTCCAGTGCAGTCGTGTAAGGGCATACATATACGTATAGGGTGCCCTCCCACTCGATGGATGGAGTACTAACGTTTTTCAGTGCAGTCGTGTAAGGGCATACATATACGCATAGGGTGCCCTCCCACTCGATGGATGGAGTACTAACGTTTTCTAGTGCAGTCGCGTAAGGGCATACATATACGCACAGGGTGCCCTCCCACTCGATGGATGGAGTACTAACGTTTTCCAGTGCAGTCGTGTAAGGGCATACATGTACGCGTAGGGTGCCTTCCCACTCGATGGATGGAGTACTAACGTTTTCCAGTGCTGTTATGTAAGGGCATACATATACGCATAAGGTGTCCTCCCACTCGATGGATGAAGTACTAACGTTTTCCAGTGCAGTTGTGTAAGGGCATACATGTACGCGTAGGGTGCCCTCCCACTCGATGGATGGAGTACTAACGTTTTTCAGTGCTGTTATGTAAGGGCATACATATACGCATAAGGTGTCCTCCCACTCGATGGATGGGGTACTAACGTTTTCCAGTGCTGTTATGTAAGGGCATACATATACGCATAAGGTGTCCTCCCACTCGATGGATGGAGTACTAACGTTTTCCAGTGCTGTTATGTAAGGGCATACATATACGCATAAGGTGTCCTCCCACTCGATGGATGAAGTACTAACGTTTTCCAGTGTAGTCGTGTAAGGGCATACATGTACGCGTAGGGTGCCCTCCCACTCGATGGATGGAGTACTAACGTTTTCCAGTGCTGTTATGTAAGGGCATACATATACGCATAAGGTGTCCTCCCACTCGATGGATGGAGTACTAACGTTTTCCAGTGCTGTTATGTAAGGGCGTACATATACGCATAGGGTGCCCTCCCACTCGATGGATGGAGTACTAACGTTTTCCAGTGCTGTTATGTAAGGGCATTCATATACGCATAAGGTGCCCACTCGGTGGAGTGACGACTCTATAAGACATGTCGATGGATGGCCTTAGAAAGTGTTTCGTAGCGTTGTTTGAAGGAGAGCTAACTTTAGCAGAGGACATGTAATGGGCTATAACGACGATGATGGGTATAAAGTTTACAGGTTATTAAAACCTCAAATCGGCTCTTTATAACCTCTATTTTAAAAGTAACTACAATTTATATAACTACAATTTTCTTAACGGTAAAATAAAAGTTACCGCATAATAGCGACTCATTAAATACTTTCTTATTACAACTTGTTTGATTTTTCGGAAAGAGTCTTCGTCTAGAGGCTCAAGGCTTATTTTATGTTTTACGGCTCTTGCTATAATATTCTACAATAATATTTCGTTACAGTTAAAGCAATAAATATTTAATTATTCTTTTTTTCAAATTTGAGCCGTGGTAGCTCAGTGGTTAACGCTCGCTGTAAATATAGCAGAACGCGAGTAACCCGGGTTCGATCCCCCGCCGGCACCAATGAAATTGTTAATTGCAATTTTAAGTGTTGATTTACCACGTGCTCGGCGGTGAAGGAAAACATCGTGAGGAAACCTGCATGTCTGAGGAATAAGAAAAAAAAATATTTCGAAGACATGTGAAGTTCGTCAACACGCATTTGGGCAGCGCGGCGGACACTTCCTTGCCCTAAACCCTCTCAGAAATGAGGGGGAGGCCTGAGCCCAGCAGTGGGACGTATATAGGCTGTAACTTTACTTTACTTTACTTTTTCAAATTTTACACTAAATTCTCATTTCAGGAATTGACTACCACAAAAGGTGTTCGTTTGACGACGTAATTCAAATATTCTCTGACGATTGAACTAAAAAAAATATTGTCTGAGTTATTTTTTATTGTTCATATTAAGATGTTATAAATATAAAATGAATTTCCTAAATAATGATTAATGCCAGTAACAGGTTCTTACTTAGTTTACATATATACGAGTTCATAATATTGATGTAAAGTAAACGAATTATATATATATATATATATATATATATATGTGCTTAAAAATTAAAAATAAGTACCTTTAAATCAGGCCTGGTTTACCCACATGTTAACTAGACTGAAGCCAGGAGCGCAAGGTTCGAGGGGGCGCTGAGCTTGCTTTTGCAAGCACCACTTAGTACAGAATAAAATTTCAGTATAATATTCACAGTACATAGCAGAGTAAGTGTCGCAAGTATTTTATATGTTGCTCCTTCTTCATTTTAGGTACAAAGCAAATAAATAGATTGTTAAAATAAGACTTTGAATTATTTGGTACCTTTGGATGACGGGGGTACACACCGCCAACAATCTCGCGTTGAGTGGGCCTGATGGAGTCCATCCAATTGTGCTGAAGAAAGAAGCTTCGGAGTAGGCACCGGTTTTAACGCACCTTTTCTGGTACTCCTACTCCCTAGGCGTAATCCTGATGCGACCGCTCAGACCTGTCCAACTACTGGTTTATCTCCCGCGTGTTCTAAAAAATAATTTAATCTATTATAACTTGTACAAAAGACTAAAGAGTAAAATTTGCAACTTTGTCTTGGTTACGTGGACTATGAGAAAGCCTTTGAACCTTTCCGCCGAAATTTCGGTAGTGCTACAGTCCCGTGTTGGTGTCAAGTTGACTGTCGGTATATCGAAAAATAAGGTCGACTGCACGTCGGTGTTGCAGATATAGACAGGAGCGTAAAGAACCAGAGTACTAAACATATCTAACTGCAGAGAGGTTTAAGACAGGGTAGTGTTGTATCCCCGAAACTCTTCACCGCTGCATTGAAAGTTGTTTTCAAGCTACTGGACTGGAAAAGATACGATATGTATTTACATTAATGGCGAGTACATCACTCATCTTCGATTTGCCGAAGACATAGCCCTTATGGCAGAATTGCTTTAGGACCTAAATATTATGCTTAATGACCTCAATAGAGTCTCCCAATGGATAGGTCCTTGAACGAATTTTAATTCGTTCAAGGATAGGTCTTATGATGAACATGGACAAAACAAAGATATGCTTGTATATAGATAGATAGATATAATATAGATAGATAGACACACATATGCCGGTAGGTGTTGGTAGCACTAAGCTCGAAGTTATTGACGAATATGTTTACCTGGGACAAATAGTCCGACTAGGTAAGTTCAACTTCGACCGAGAGATTGATCGACGGATTCAACTCGGCTGGGTAGCGTTCGGGAAATTACGACACATTTTCTCGTAAGGTATACCTCAAAATCTGAAAACGTGACAACCATTGCGTGTTGCCAGTGACCTGAGACGTGGTCCTTCACTGCTGGTCGTATGAGGAAACTCAAGGTCGCTAAGCGATTTATGGAGAGGGCTATGTTCGGAGTTTCTCTGAAACTTAGAAATGGGGATATCCGCTGTAAAACTAGAGTGAGTGCCACTGAAGTGGCAATGGGCCGGCTATACTGTTTGAAGAACCGACAACCGATGTGAAAAAAAGGTTCTCGAGTGGCAGCCTAGTACCGGTAGGTGAAGTATAGGGCTACTCCCCACTAGAGGGTGTGACGAACTGGTAAGACATGCGGGAATTCGATAGATGCAGGTGACTCAAGACCGTGTTTTATGGAATTCCTTGGGGGAGGCCTATGTTCAGCAGTGGACTTGTGAAGGACTGTAATTACGTGCAAATTTTTCTCGCAAACACATCTTCGAGTATCGAAACAAGCTTGTGCCTGAAGGCGAGTTTTTAATAAGCAAAATATCGGATTGGGGACGACTCTAGGCCAGTTTAAACTTCAGAAGATACGGGTTTGTGCGTCTATCACTAAAAAGAACCGCTATATAGTGTCTCCTCAAATTTAGGGCAGCATGAAAGTGCCTTAAAATCATCAAACATCCCATCGGAATCCTCGACAGAAGGCTAAGTTGGCCCCTAAAATCTTGGCGTGTTCTTCAGAGCGGGACAGTAAGTATTTCATGCCGCCACACCAACTTTGCAATTTTACAAGGCGTAATTTCACCCTTAAATAGAGTATTATTCTCACCTCTGGACCGGGGTACTCCAGTGCCAGCTCCTTCCACTTAACCGCATCCAACGAAAAGTGGCTCAAATAGTCGACTATCTCGTTCTTTCTGATCGGTTCGTTTCATTGGCGCTGCGAAGAGATGTTGCTTCCTATTGCATTTTTAACGGGGAGTACTTAGACAAATTGTTTGGATTGATTCCAGCCGCAAAATTGCACCAACGCACATCGGGACAAAACTCATGATACCATTTACAACACCATTTGGATGCTTGGCGATCCACCATGTCTGTGCGATTTACTAGGCGTTTCACTTCTCGCAAGACTTCTTTGTGGAATCATCTACCACCGGTGATTATTCTGGACCGATACGGCTTAGAGACCTTCAAGAAAAGAGATTACTCTTTTTAAAAAGGCCAGAAACGTACTAACGATTTCCCTGGTGTTGCAGTTGTAAATGAGCTATGGTCGATATTCACTATAAGGAACATTTGATTTAATATGTAGGTGAAACCGCAGAGTGGAAAGTTAGTAAAATATAAAAATCTAGTAAATATATTCGTGGGCTGGGCAGACGCACACAGAAGAGACGACATTACAGAAAACATTTATTTTTTCAAACCACAGATTAATTGAAACTCCGCACTATTCTTAATTTTTCATGTAGTTATATTATAATAAATAAAATAAAATAGCCTTTTATTTTTCTTTTACACTTAATAAATTTAATAAAAAATCAAGTTAACATTTTTAAGTACATTATTATATTAGAATCATA